TATTTTGAGTAGATCACAAGTATATCACTTGTTGAAGTGTACAGTATAACTATCACTGTATTTTGAGTAGATCACACCTATATATATCACTTGATGAAGTGTACGGTACAACTATCACTGTATTTTGAGTAGATCACAAGTATATCACTTGTTGAAGTGTACAGTATAACTATCACTGTATTTTGAGTAGGTCACACCTATGTATATCACTTGATGAAGTGTACAGTATAACTGTCACTGTATTTTGAGTAGATCACCTATATACATTACTTGATGAGGTGTACGGTACAACTATCACTGTATTTTGAGTAGATCACATCTATATCACTTGTTGAAGTGTACGGTATAACTATCACTGTATTTTGAGTAGATCATACCTATATCACTTGGTGAAGTGTACGGTATAACTATCACTGTATTTTGAGTAGATCACATCTATATCACTTGATGAAGTGTACAGTATAATTGTCACTGTATTTTGAGTAGATCACATCTATATCATGTGATGAAGTGTACAGTATAACTATCACTGAATTTTGAGTAGATCACACCTATATCACTTGATGAAGCGTACAGTATAACTGACACTGTATTTTGAGTAGATCACATCTATATCACTTGTTGAAGTGTACAGTATAACTATCACTGTATTTTGAGTAGATCACATCTATATCACTTGTTGAAGTGTACAGTATAACTGTCACTGTATTTTGAGTAGATCACATCTATATCATGTGATGAAGTGTACGGTATAACTATCACTGTATTTTGAGTAGATCACGCCTATATCACTTGTTGAAGTGTACGGTACAACTATCACTGTATTTTGAGTAGATCACATCTATATCACTTGTTGAAGTGTACAGTATAACTATCACTGTATTTTGAGTAGATCATACCTATATCACTTGGTGAAGTGTACGGTACAACTATCACTGTATTTTGAGTAGATCACACATATATCACTTGTTGAAGTGTACGGTATAACTATCACTGTATTTATGAGTAGATCACATCTATATCACTTGTTGAAGTGTACAGTGTAACAATCACTGTATTTTGAGTAGATCACAAGTATATCACTTGTTGAAGTGTACAGTATAACTATCACTGTATTTTGAGTAGGTCACACCTATGTATATCACTTGATGAAGTGTACAGTATAACTGTCACTGTATTTTGAGTAGATCACCTATATACATCACTTGATGATGTGTACGGTACAACTATCACTGTATTTTGAGTAGATCACATCTATATCACTTGTTGAAGTGTACGGTACAATTATCACTGTATTTGAAGTAGATCACATCTATATCACTTGTTGAAGTGTACAGTATAACTATCACTGTATTTTAAGTAGATCACATCTATATCACTTGTTGAAGTGTACAGTATAACTATCACTGTATTTTGAGTGTGTCACACCTATATATATCACTTGATGAAGTGTACAGTATAACTGTCACTGTATTTTGAGTAGGTCACATCTATATCACTTGTTGAAGTGTACGGTACAACTATCACTGTATTTTGAGTAGATCACACCTATATATATCACTTGATGAGGTGTACAGTATAACTGTCACTGTATTTTGAGTAGATCATATGTATATCATGTGATGAAGTGTACAGTACAACTATCACTGTATTTTGAGTAGATCACACCTATATATCTTGATGAAGTGTATGGTATAATTATCACTGTATTTTTAGTAGATCACATCTATATCACTTGTTGAAGTGTACAGTATAACTATCACTGTATTTTGAGTGTGTCACAAAACACAAACGTAACATTGTTAAAAATTACCCAAAAACATTTCTCTTTCTAGTGTTATATTCATTATAATAATTAGATGTATTAGCTAATGTATGATATGTTTGTATTTAATGTATTAGCTTACAACATGTTTGTATCTACTGCTGTATTAGAAATTATAACTATTACCTAAATGAATAACTTTTAATCACAGAAATCTGTGTTGCTGGACACTGTTTGTTTTATACTAAACCTAGAGACATATGACTGGGTAATAAGGCAAGTGTATAGCTCTAAACCCCTTATAAGACCATAAGTCAAAATAGTCAATTATAACACACAGAATGCTGGAAAGCCTTTGCCTTTCATAGCTATGTATTTTATACGTACAAATCATAATTAGTTGTTAGAAAATATTATTTATGGATGATTTTGACTTTATGATTTGTTTGAAAAAATTGACGTTTTAATATAGTGACCCCATTTTGCAGTTTTAATGTTTGATTTGTTTATGTAGGAAAATATACATACTATTTTTTATTTTTTTACAGAAAGATATATTGTTCATTTCAATTTCAATCTTTTCTATTTCACTTTTCTGCTTTTATTTTAAATGAAACGTGTTTTTCTAATTACAGGACACCATAATGTTAGGCTAGAGAAAGCTTATATTTCAAATAAGTTATGTTTTGAAATGCTTTATATGGCAATAATAAAAATTGGGATTTGTATAATTGTTAGCCTGGTAATAAAAGGTATTTTGAAACTTTAATTACATCTATTAACCAGGATTTTGTTTCTTTTCTCACAGCTTTTTTTGTTCCAGTTGTTAAGAGGTTTAGTTTATTGTCATGAAAGAAGAGTGTTACACAGGTATGTTTAAAATACAATATCTATTAAGATTCCTGGAAACAAGTGATATCAGATTCGTAGTTTTACCTACACAGTAATGCACGGACATTTTAATTTTTATTGCTACATTTACAAATATGCTGGTAATCAATTACTGAAACTGTTTTATAAGTGATATTGATTGGTCTTAATAAGGATTTTTCTAATTATTGAAAAATATATACATTGATATTAAATATATGTTATACATATAGATATATCTGTTTTAGTTTGTTTGCCTAACATAGAATTTATTTGCACTTCAACCTATCATTTATATAGTGTATGTTATAAATTTTATCAATTGAGTGTACTTGTGTTCTTGTAGTACCATTTATAACATTGATTTACATTAGGAATGAATTGAATAGTTTCTTTGACTCCCCTGACTTTCAAAACCAGGTGAGATTATATCTTATATAAACAAGTAGACAAAGCAGTTTGTGATTTTCAGTGATTTAACTTTACAGAATGCTTTTTGTTTAATTAAAATTATTCTTTATTGTCACTGTAAAATTACTTACATTTTATCAAAATCTTAATTTTCATCACAACATGTATTAAAGAATAAAATACAAAATGGTCACCTTGTGCAAATAGAAAGAAATGGAACATGTATTGTAGGTTCTTCTACGTATTGTGGTATTAAGTTCCTAAAAACTAGTGAAGCCATTGAAACCATTAAGGCCTAATAGTTCTGATAAAAATCGTATTTGACAGTAGATATCATTTCTCCATCATCCTCTTAATACAGATTTGAAGTCTGTAATGGACTAATTGAAATTGATTTACTAATTAAACAAAAGCAAAAAAAAAATGTATAAATACATTATTGTTATATTTTTTAAATATTTAATATGTAAATTTGTTTTCTTATAGGGACCTCAAACCTCAGAATCTACTGATTAGTGATCAGGGTGAACTAAAACTGGCAGACTTTGGTAAGGTTTTAGTGATCAAGACAAAGCGTTCTTTGTAAGATTTTGTTTAAGTTATTGATGTATGATGTAATATAAGTTGATATTTTTGCAGAATCTATTGTTTAGTGATCAGGGTGAACTAAAACTGGCAGACTTTGGTAAGGTTTTAGTGATCAAGACAAAGCGTTCTTTGTAAGATTTTTTTTAAGTTATTGATGTATGATGTAACATACATTGATATTTTTGTGCCCATGTATTATAATATTTCCTTTGTCACTTATTTTCTACTAATTTTTGAACAATACCTTATTGATGCAGGAGAAAACTGCATATTCAGGATATTAAAGATGTTTTTTATTTGTTCAGAAAGTACTGTTGGTTATTTAGTTCTTATTCCTTCTACTTGTAGATGAAATTTCTCATGACTTTACAGTTTGAAAAATTGGTTATCAGTCAGCAAATTACTGGTCAAATTTTGAAAATGCAAGTGAAGCATTAAGAATTTTCATTTTTGATAAATCACAATGTTTCAATGAAGTCATTTCAAAATAAAAGATTTGTAACATAAATGTGAGAAGTGAAATATAATCAACAAATAACTAGGCCATCAAGTGGTTGTATAGTTAGAGTGAAAGACCTGGCTTATGGAATCTACACATGTATCTATTTAGTTTTATTGAAGTTATTCAAATAGAGCAGCGAACCCTAATTGCATTAAAAAATGTGTGAAGTAAAATGTACATTTAATACCATACATTTATTGAACTTTTAAATGCCATGAATTATACAGTGTAAAGAAGAACTGTAAAATGGAGTGAATAGGGACAGAATTAGCTAAATAGCAACACATCTACAGCTCTTCATTCTCAAGCTTTGACTTGAAGAAAAGTAAAATTGGTGGATAGGTGACCAAATTGTACCTCAATACTGTAGCTCAAGGGAACATCGTAGGGTCTAGGACTTTTTATATAATTATCTTGTGTCCCTAAACACCCCACTATGGAGTGAGTAGGGATGAACATTAAGAATTATTTTTAATCCCTTTTTATAAAATTATCTTGTGTCCCTAAACACCCCACTATGGAGTGAGTAGGGATGAACATTAAGAATTACTTTTAATCCCTTTTATAAAATTATCTT